CAATAGATATGAAATTCAAAATACCTCGAACAAAATATTTGAATTTGATAATGATTTGAAATAAAATCATCGCTCAATTTTTTACCCAAAATCTCATGAATTTTTTTTTCTATTTTATTCTATTATCTCTCTCTCTCTCTCTTCCCTTTCCTTTCTCTCCCTTTCTTTCTTCTCCTTGTGCATTGTTTGAAGACCCAAATGAAGGCTATTTATAGCCATGCTTGCTTGGTCCCCAAGCATTTCATGGACACTTGTCCATGTCATTTACTTCACCTTTTTTTTACTTTCTTTTTGCACATTTTTTATTTGCTCAAATGTGCATGTACTTTATATATATGTATTTATTACNTCTCTCTCTCTCTCTTCCCTTTCCTTTCTCTCCCTTTCTTTCTTCTCCTTGTGCATTGTTTGAAGACCCAAATGAAGGCTATTTATAGCCATGCTTGCTTGGTCCCCAAGCATTTCATGGACACTTGTCCATGTCATTTACTTCACCTTTTTTTTACTTTCTTTTTGCACGTTTTTTATTTGCTCAAATGTGCATGTACTTTATATATATGTATTTATTATGAAACTTGACCTAAATTATAGTCATTTGATCCATTTGTTCCTTAAAAAATTTATTATTTATTTATTATTATTATTATTATATAAAATCATAATTGACGACCTAATTAGCGTGTCAATAATTAAATTATATACGGATTGTCATACTACCTCACTCATTTTAATGAGAAGACCCTCCAAATTGAAGAGCTAGATGACAAGGTTACCATGGNTATATGTATTTATTATGAAACTTGACCTAAATTATAGTCATTTGATCCATTTGTTCCTTAAAAAATTTATTATTTATTTATTATTATTATTATTATATAAAATCATAATTGACGACTTAATAAGCGTGTCAATAATTAAATTATATACGGATTGTCATACTACCTCACTCAATTTAATGAGAAGACCCTCCAAATTGAAGAGCTAGATGACAAGGTTACCATGGCCGCCTTTATTGCAGGTCTACGTTCATCATATTTTATGTTCTCCATCTTGAAAAAGCCACCATCAAGCATGCCCAAGTTGTTATCTAGGGCACACAAATATATGAATGCTAAGGATGTCACTAAAGTCAGGTGAGGTGTGTCCACCCGCAAGGGTGACAAAAGAAAAGACACTTGCGAATACAGAAAAGAAGCATAAAGCAAGAAAANGCCTTTATTGCAGGTCTACGTTCATCATATTTTATGTTCTCCATCTTGAAAAAGCCACCATCAAGCATGCCCAAGTTGTTATCTAGGGCACACAAATATATGAATGCTAAGGATGTCACTAAAGTCAGGTGAGGTGTGTCCACCCGCAGGGGTGAGAAAAGAAAAGACACTTGCGAATACAGAAAAGAAGCATAAAGCAAGAAAAATAGGACGAAAAATCGTGTTTGTCAAGGACCGCCTTGGTCCCGCATCCTTGAGAGAGTGGCAAGCCTTTACGCTGCACAATTCTTTAGTTGAGCATATCCTACTCTAATTTTAGAATGATCCTAGGATACNAGACACTTGCGAATACAGAAAAGAAGCATAAAGCAAGAAAAATAGGACGAAAAATCGTGTTTGTCAAGGACCGCCTTGGTCCCGCATCCTTGAGAGAGTGGCAAGCCTTTACGCCGCACAATTCTTTAGTTGAGCATATCCTACTCTAATTTTAGAATGATCCTATGATATGTTGGTTGGGAAAAAATGAAATCCGACCTGAATCGTAGGAACTCAAACAAATACTGTCGTTTCCACCAGGACCATGGGCACGATGCCAATGACTACTTTGAACTCAAAAGGCAGATCGAGGAACTTATACAGCATGGTCAGCTATGGCAATACGTAGCTGACAGAGGACAGGCCCCGCCATTTGGCCTGAACCATGGTGACAGAGAGCACCAACAGCCCCTCGGAGAAATCTAGATGATCTCTGGAGGGTTTGGAGGAGGAGGTGACTCCAACTTAGCCAAGAAGGTGCATGCCCGGAACGCCAGATAAACGGAGTCAGACAATCCTTGCCCAACAAAGATGCCCAAGCACAAGAAATGGGAGGTCAACTCATTTTCAAACAAGGATTTTGAGGGGATTCAACACCCGCATGATGACCCTTTAATGCTAACCATGGTTTTAACCAACTACTAAGTTTAGAGAATTTTGGTGGACAACGGCAGCTCCGCCGACATCCTGTTTGCATCAGCCTATGATAGCCTCCATCTTGGCAGAGAGAAATTGTAACCCATCAAGATGCTCCTCATTGGATTTTCGGGAGAAAAAACATATCCATTGGGTTCCATCAACCTACCAGTTACATTAAGGACTGCACTAAGAAGCTCCACCATNCCCTCATTGGATTTTCGGGAGAAAAGACATATCCATTGGGTTCCATCAACCTACCAGTTACATTAAGGACTGCACTAAGAAGCTCCACCATCATGGTGAACTTCATAGTGTTGGATTGCCCCTCTGGCTACAATATCATCCTTGAATGTCTTGCACTCATTATCTTAAAGGCAGTGCCGTCCACCTATTATCTTCTTCTCTGTTTCCCATTGCCAAAGAATGCTATGTGGCCTCTATAAAGGCCAAGAAACACCAAGAGGGCCACGAAGTAGAAATGCTCTACCTTAGGGATGACAACACCCTGGAAATGGGAAAGCCTTGGCCTATCCATGGAATGACGAACACTTGAAGAGGCGTTATCAATAGCAGGATACTAGCCAGTGACTTCATTTTATTTGTCTTTTTTGGTTCAATCAATTTTCCTTTTATCATTTGTTACTTTAAATTATGAAATAAATCTTTTGCAATAATTATTTTGTCTAGAACTACTTTTCATTCCATGAAAGTTTGTACACAATTTACAAAAGTTAGAACGTAACCTAACAACAAAAAAGTACACATAAAGATAAAAGTCGTCATACTCCTGACGTCACTCGCTGTCCCCTGATCCATTCTTATCAAGACTCTTTCCGTCATCATTTGCCCCGGTGACTCATATGGGATGAAGCTAGAAAAGTCAATAGTAGAGAAAGCTACCGAGACACTCCCCCTAAACTCCTCATAACCATCAATAAAAGCGTCGGCAAGGGCCCTCTCAGTATCCTCCCTTCTCATCTTCATCACAATGGAATGAGCCTCTACCCTCGTGGCTCTCTTACGAGCTACTCGTAGGTTAGCCTCTGCCACGACAACCCTCTCCCGAGTTACCCATAGCTTGGCCTCATCTCTTGTAGCCTTCTTGTGGGATGCTCGCACCTCTGACTCTGCTTTTGCGTAGGCAGCCTCCCTATAAACGACCAGCTTCCCAGCCCTCTCATAGGACTCCGAAAGCTCAATCTCAAGAGACGCAACTCTCTCATGAGCCAACTTCAAATACTCTTCAGTAGCCCCTCGTGCCTGTCTCTCCTCTGCCAGTGCCCTTAATGCCTTTCCAAGCTTGATCGTACTTGAGAATAGGCAGGGAAAAGCAGCAGCCACCTATAAGCATCCGAAGGAAAAAATATAAAAAAAGAGGCAAGTATAGAAATCAAGGTTGAATAGGAAAAAGACATATGAAAAATCCCTCCATCATAGTATCTATGATGCCCTCTAGACCCTGAGAGCCCACCTTTCTAATATCCGCAAGTGTCACAAAATTCCAAAGCCACTCATTGGCTATATTCATGTCTTGTAGCATGGACATCGAGCTACTACTAGAAGCAGGATGGCTACGTGGAGCTCCAGTCGCCGCAAAGGATCGCACAGGAGTCTCAACTCCTACAGCGGTAATAGGGCCAACTCTAGTACACAAAGGGGCCGTAGGCTGGGAAGGAGTTGAGGCACCATCGGATCCCACCTCTCGGGAAGTAGCCTTGACATCAGACCTCAGCCGAGAAGCACTAGGGGTATTAGGATTTTGCCATCTTGGGAGAAGGGAGAGACGCCACCTTGGAAGCATAGAGGGCGTCCATCATCACCCTATAAACAGTAGTACTTGTGGAACTAGTATAAGAAGAATAATTTACAGTCATCAATTTTATTAGAAGGATCAAATACCTTTTCTCTTCTACTTAGAGAAGGCTATAGAGTGACCTGACGTAGGCATAAGGGCCACAAACTACTTGGTAGGATGATCCCGCACAACCTGCAGCCTAATCTCTTACTCCGTGGATAATATGAGTAAAGCTGCAAAGGAATCAAACATGCAGTGAATGCAGGAGACATTACAATCGGGTATAAAAGCGAGGGTAAAACCCATACTTAGCTTGGTCCTCGGAGTAGTATCCCATCGTGAAGGCACTAAGTCATGGCCCTCCTTGGCATCCTACTTACCCTTAACGGAGAAAAACTTGGACTTCCAACTATGATAGTTCAAGGGCAGTCCAGTTATCAACTTGCCCGACCTTGGGGCAAAACGGTACCACCCCTAGTGAGGAGTAGATTTCTCTAGAAGAATGTACGGGGGGAACACCCTCACCAAAGCCAGAAATACCCTCCAACCTTTTGGGGTCAACCTCCCCGGAGCCAGCAACAAGTTACCTAGGATTTGGTAAACGGGTCCGGGTATAGGAAACCTTAGTCCCACCTCCAGCATATCCTCATAGAAAACGATCTCTGCAAAAGAATCATAGTATGCCAGCTCATCCTTCTCGGTCCGACGGCACATAATGACAAGAGGGATATAGAACTAAAGATAGAAGTTACCTTCGAACCATCACTGTCAGTAGTTCCCTTGGTTCGCTGTGAATCTGGTGTAGCATTCTCCTTCACTCTTTTGTCAGAATGGGCACTAGCCAAAAAATCAGATCCAATGTCAAGACGAAGTCAATGAGCCAATTGTCAAAACAAATAATGAATAAAGGGAGTAAGCAAATTTGCCTCCTACCTAGTTGAAAGTCGTCATACTCTCCCTCTCTAGCAAAACCCAGCACGCCTACTCGTTGTTCCCCACGGACGCCTGATAGTTGCCTGCCAGAGCCGAGCTCACCATAGCTATCGCCCAACACTCTGTGCACCTGCACCCATAACCAAGGCGTCGTTAGCGCCTCCTCCACCACTAGCCAANGTTGCCTGCCAGAGCCGAGCTCACCATAGCTATCGCCCAACACTCTGTGCACCTGCACCCATAACCAAGGCGTCGTTAGCGCCTCCTCCACCACTGGCCAGGGCATCGCTAGCGTCTTTGGTGCCTGGGGTGCCGCCTAGTTCTCCTCTGACAACGTTGTTACCCAGTCCATCGACGCCTCGTGGGTCCCCTCTACGAGAATCTACGACTCCTCCTGTGACTTCACTGGCGCCGCCCAGCCCACCTCCACCTCTACTAGCGTCACCCATGTCACCTGGCTTGTTAGCGTCACCCTCTACCTCACCTTTGGCACCGCCTAATGTCATCCATGGCTTTGCCAGATGTCGCCGGTGGCTTTGCCTGGTTTCGCCTGAAGCCCAATTGTGCTCTTCTTCGTGGACCCACCCAAGGAGCCCCTGTTCGATGTCCTCCCACTAGCCTCCATGATATTGCCCTTCGATCTCTCAATTGCTTAAGGGATGGAAGCTTTTAGGCTCTCATCTCAAAGGAAAGCTTCAAGTAAGGGACATTAAATGGAGTTGACGAAGGGTTTATATATACTAACCTTTGAAGCTCTAAGAATGGTGACCTAAATGGAAAAGAGGGCTTTTGTTGTGGAAGTATAAAGTATCTTTTAGACCTCATGGAAGACCCAACATATGGGATTGGCTGCTAGAACAATAGTTATCCATCCATAGTATTACCAAATAAGGAAAGAAACTTTGTTAAACTTGGGATGGGAAGCTGTAGAAACTACTGTGGGAAACAAGATACCTAGTCTGTCTAAATTAAAGTCTCACTCATGCCCTCATCCTCTTGTCATGGCAAGAGCTTGGGGCATGGGGCAAATGAAGAACCCAGATCCATTTGGGTCCAGGTCCAATTCGTGGGTAAAGCCCAAATGGTCAAAAGGCAAGTCAAGTTTAGTTCATGGCCTCAGTCTAGTCCAAAGTTTAAGAAACTCAGGAAAATTAATGAACGTAGGGAGCAATAATCGGGATAGCCACTACTCAAAGATCACGCCTATCCTAAATTGTACCTATCCTTAATTGGTACTATCCTCCCCGAGAGACTAGTAGCTTGACCTTTACACCAATGCCTTAAAATTGTAGGCCTTCTACACATGAAGGACACACAAATATCTCTCACATACCACAACTCTAGCTTACTTTTGCTCTTGCTCTCTCTCTCTCCATCACCTACTACATTATTCTCCCATTAATAAAGTTCTCCGGCCACTGTTGCCGGTGGTTAAGTCACCTAGGCCCAACCATCCAATATTTGCTTTTTACTATTATTTGACTCATTAATTACCTTGCATGATACACTCGACTGATTTGATTGTGCATAACCTATATTGTGCATAAATATAAATTGTTATGAGAACTTTATTTCAATAATGGTTTAATTGAAAATCATACATGTTGTCGACAAAGAATTGAAAAAAACATTGACTGAAATTGAGTTTTTCTTAACAAGTGAAGTGAATATGGATAGACAAACATCAAAAAGTGGAAAAGAGACCTATTAGTGCAATAATAACCTTAATAATGGTCTTGTTCAATACATAAAATATACTAGTGCAACAATCAGAGATGTCAAACAATCTCCTATAGGCAAGACAGACTATGCCAAAAGATTGTACTATAATCCTATTGATGGTGTATCTAATTCTATCTAAGATTGTGAATCTTTACTCCTATCATACAAGAATATAATAATTTGATTTTCTGTATATAAGTTGAACTCTACATTTCAGATTATTTACAATATAAAATAAAAGATACGTATACATAACATATATTTAATATAATGCAAATATTTTATCCATACAGATTCTCAATAAAAAATAAATAATTTTTTATTAAATAATAAATTGAGTTTCACTACAAAAAATAAGTTTTTGGTATATAATTCTATCAACAATTACATAAAAAAAATTATTACAAAACAATTGCTTAATTTTCAGTTGTATCAAACACCGATTCATATACTTTGAGCTTGTCCATATGCTGTTAACAAGTAGTTCCATTTTGGTTTTTTTTTTTCGTACAACCATGAGAAAGGAGGATAAGAGGCCACGCATTCCCATTACAGTCAATGTACAATAATCACCGAGACAACTACAAACTTTATGAATTTTTGATATGCATGAGTGGAAGGCAAACTATGCATCATTTGCCAACGGTCAACCATACAAATTATGCAGATTTTTCTCTCCTTTAAAAAGCTTCGCATTATTTTGAATCCTCAGGCATTAAGAGACATCAATCCCATATCACCGCTGGTGGTTTAAGCTTAATTCTTCTCCTCTTCGTTTCCGTTTTCTCTTGCTTCACCGGACTCTCTTTAACCCAACTCTTGTGTTTGATGCTAATGACAATTGAAAACTCTAAGATGTACTAGTAATTACTGAGCTTTATGATTTAAGATCTGACAAGTTTTGAGCCCGCCTCCTGTTGAGCAATACAACCCTCCTCAATTATTCGGGCTTGGGATTAACTGTGTAAAAGATTAACCCAAAATAGTCGGGACAAGGTTGAGTTGAGTTATAATAGTTTTTTGATCCATCAAACACTCACAACATCTGTTGATTTTTTGGACAGAAGGGGTTCCTTCAAATTAATTGTACAACTTGTTCTCTTGCTAGAGTGATCCATAAGGACTTGGACACTCTCTATTTGATCATTTTGTCGTATGGGCTTTATCTCTGCATTCAACTCTTCGTTTTCTGTGGCCTTACCCCATAGCACAATATATAATCCAATAATCACACCAGCAGCACCTAACAAGCTGGAGGAAAGAAGAAAAATAATCAGTCTAATAATCAGTAGTATTAGATTACGGCACAACAA